CATATAACACCTGCAGTTCCATGCGCAGTTGGCTTCTACTTTAGGCGCAGCCTCGATTCCACAAGCGCTAGCGAAACGTGATGGAACATTCGGGAGGAACTCACCACTGAATGGGAAGCTCCCTCATTCTACGCTAAGCGCTTCGATAGATACCCACTCGGCAGCGTCTGCGTATTTACTGAGGCTGCTGACCATAGCTGCATCGTCCTATTTCCCCTCAGTTCAACTATAACACTGAGAATTAAACTGACTGCACTACGGAAGCTCAACGAAAGTACACTGTAGTTCACGTGCTGCCAGCTCGCGCTGTCTCAGGAGCCTGCTTCAAAGGGATGGCGCCCTGTAGTTTGTCCGTCTTAACATTTCACGTCCTTCACGCGTAGCTGAAGGCCTTTCACTGCCTCACTTGCATCTGAAGAATCAATAGCTCTGTGACGCTTACTGCGCGAGCGAGTTGCGAGCCCACTCACCCGCGACCTACGTTTTTTTCACGAAGTTGTAGAACGCTGAAAGCGTGACAGCGTTTCTGAGTAGCGCAAAGGGCGCATTGAACTCGCAACAGTGAGGAAGGCGCCGAAGCTGACCCTCGAAAGTTTGCTCTTGTTGGGTCTCATAAGCATGCTATGGGCGGCTGTGTGTATGTGACGAATTAGATGCCTTGAACTGGTTAGAATGCATCTTCATCTCGTGCGCATACAAAGAGGGCATTTTCGCTGGTGACCCACTCGAACAAATTCAGGAGCACGTATTGCGTTAGATCAGTTTTGTATGAATGCTTTGTTGAGGTAGATTTTGGTGCGGAGTCTTAGCAAGCATCCAGTGGCAGCCTGAGCGTATATATGCGACGCCAAAGTAGACCGCTGTGGAAATGCAGGTGTTATATGGTTAAAAGCTGTATCCATATACTCAACGGCTCGGCTGAGACAAGCAAATGGTCTCAGCAAGCTCCAAGCCGTGCACGCGTGTCCTTCCGACTTGAGTCTCAAAGCGGACTCAGCAAAGAACAGTTACACTGTTGAGTTATGCTTTGCCGGGCTCTAACGTATTGGATGTATCTACGGAGAACTATCGACCTAAGTGACTGGGCGACAGTACAGCGCAGGCTTTTGGAGCGTTTTGACAGAACAATGTCGCAGAGTCAATTGTTAACGGAGTTGGCTAAAGTACCGTGGAATGGTAACCCGAAGGAATACACGGACCGGTTTGCAGCTGTAGCGGAGCGTGGTTTGGGTTTTGCCCCGGACGAACTCGCGGACTATTACTGCACCGGGCTTCCAACAGACCTCCATCTTCTAATAACCAATAACGGACAAGTGAAATACCAGTCGTGGGAACAAGCGGCGACCGCCGCAACACGGCTCTACGAGCCCAAGCAAAGTGTGCTGGAACTCCGAGAAAGGACCAGTCGAGCCATTACCGCTGCCGTCCAAGCTAATGGACCCCGTGGGCGCCAGGAAATTGAAAACTGCCCTGGGGGAACTCACGCGAACTGCTTTGAGTGCCAGGGGTCGCGGACATCCGGCACGTGTCTGCCCCGGCAAAGGGGAACGTACCAGACGTCCGGGGGGAATATGCAATGTGGGACACTATGCTCGGGACTGTCCTACGTATGAACGAGGCCGGCCCGAGCCGGTGGACAAGAGCAGTAGGGCACCCACCCGTCCTAGCACTGAGAAGACGGAACGATTAAACGTGCTGGCCTAGGCGTGGTGGGAGACGAGCGTTCTAGGCCGCGTAGCCATGACAAAGGGATGATGTGTGCGGTAGCGACAGGCCCTGATGCCATTCCAGTCTCCCTTGAATGGGGAAACCAACTCCTCCGCACTGCGGGAAGAGCTAATACGAGCGATGGGCACGCGGAAGGGACTTAGCCGCTTTCGGAAACGCGGCGGGAGTCTGGGTCAGCGTAGATCCTGAGTGAAGAGACTCCGGAAGCGACGACGGATAGCAGCAGGAAGTCTGCAGAGGCAACAGAAGATGGCTATAGGTCAGACGCGACAGAGATTGTGCCACACTGGTGGAGGGAGACTTGCACGAAAGAGTCTTACGACCAAGGGGGAGCGTTGTGTTGTGCGGGTGCGACAGCGGTACTTCGCGTTGAGCTCGCAGGGAGTCCTTGTGAGGCGCTCTTGGATACTGGGGCTTCGAGAAGTTTCATTAGTCCTAAAATAGTAGAACGACTGCAGCTGAAAGTGCGGAGACTTCCAAAAGAACATAGATTCACCGTAGCTACAGGTGCACAACTACGCATTGATCGGGTTGTGACGGGATTGACGCTGTGGTGCGGGCATGCACGTTTTTCCGGGGACTTTTTAGTGGGACCCGTTCCCTATGACTTAGTCTTGGGTTTGGATTGGCTGACGAACACAAGGTGGTCTGGTATTTTCAGTCTGACAAACTCCGAACCTATGTGAATGACCACTGGTGCGAGTTACCAGTCGTTCGGCCTGGTGAAACAACGCTGCAACGTGATAGTCCCACCGTCGTCCACCCAAGGACCCCAGCAGAGCAAGCATATAAGATATTGGCCAAACAAGTGGCGGGGATGTCAGCCGATGAGGCAGCTGTATTCCTACGCGCGCCTCCAAGGAGGTATAAGTCCCACGCGAAGAGTAAGGCGAAGGCGCGCATAACGTCTCTCGTTCGTCAGGCGGCAGCTGGCACAAATGATCTCAGGACTCCATTGCACGGTTTGCATCTCATACTGGCTTTGCCCGAAGCCGGTTCGGCAGTGCCCCGAAGGCTCTCGGATGAATGGCAAGGCGCGCTTTGTTGCGCGTTAATTGGGAATCAACCCACGTCCTCCGGCTGGCGTAGTCCTTTGGCCTCAACCGCCTCGGTGGCAGCGGAGAGTGACGAGGAGTCTCCCTGGCCTATGGCAAAACTAGAGCACACTCTGTTCGACGAATGGATAACTTCGCCAGTGGCGCAGGATATTCCATGTGAGATTGCCCAGGTGTTGCACGAGTATCGAGCAGTTTTTCCCGATGCCTTACCTAAGGGATTACCGCCGAAGCGCCCTCATGATCACCATATTCTACTTGTGCCTGGAAAACTTCCAGCGAAATCTGCAACCTACCGTATGACCCTAGATCAGCTCACATTCCACAAACAGGAGATAGTTAAATTATTGGACAGTGGTTGGATCGGACCGACCTATTCGCCTATTTGCTCTCCTATGACCATGGTGGACAAACGTGATGATGGCTCGGGGGAGCGGAAGATGCGTATGGTTGTCAATTACCAGGCTCTAAATGCCCTTACGATAGCCCCTGATTTTCCACTACCTCCCATTCAAACCATTCTGGAGATGCTGGCGGCGACAAGTATTTTTCCACCTTGGATCTTGAAGCAGGCTTCCATCAGATACGTATGGCTAAGGAAGACCGATGGAAGACGGCTTTCCGGTCCGTTCTCGGACTATTCGAGTACCCAGTGATGCCCTTCGGCCTTAAGGGTGCTCCCGCTACGTTCCAGGCCAATATCAATGCCTATCTACAGCCTTTATTGGGACAGGGCATTGTTGCGTACCTAGATGATGTACTTATCTATAGTTCCGATCTGTCTGGGCACGTTCCTCTCCTGCGACAAGTCCTCAGCATTTTTCTTAGACACCAGTTCTACCCAAAATTCCGCAAATGCAAGTTTGCAAGGCAAACAATTACATATTTGGGTTATACAATTTCTGCTGCGGGGATCAAACCTGCAGAAGATAAAATCGCAGCCACCCGGCATTGGCCAGAGGTGCTGGAGAACGAAACGCAAGTGCGCCCGTTCCTCTGTACCATAAATTACTATCGCATATTCATGGGACCGGACTATGCAGACGTTGCCCGGCCGCTGGTTCTTCTTACGCGTAAAGACGTCAGTTTCGAATGGACAGAGCTTCACACGCAAGCGGTGCGGCAGCTCAAACAGCGCTTAATCAACTTCACTACATTACAAGTCCCTGACACGACGAAACCCTTCGAGTTATACACAGATGCCTCTGGCTATGCGATCAAAGCAGTTGTCGAACAAGACGGCAAACCCATCGGCTTCCTCAGCCAAGTCATGAACCCCTCGATCTACGATCAGGAACTCTTGGCGTTGGTCATGGCACTGAACAAATGGTCGCACTTGTTCCGTGTCTCCAAGGTAACGGCTTACACTGATCATCAAGCTCTCACTCATCTCCAACGACTCCAAGCATCGAAGCCTCTGCGCGGACGCACCGCGCGGTGGCTAGACTTTCTTGCGAAGTTCCCAGATTTGCACATCACGTATGTTCAAGGCGCGCGCAATCAAGTTGACGACGCCCTGTCTCGCCATCCCGGCCTTCCTAACACCTGCTCGCACGACACACCACCGGTACCACTGATGCTCGCAATAGGACAAGCAGCAAACCAACCAGGAGAAGCTCTGCAAATCGAGTTTTGTAATCGCCAATTTACCTTTCGCTACGTAGAGCCTTACCTGCACATCCGCGTTCATGGACTGTGGCGCACCTGCATCCCACAATTCCCTGAGTTCCTTACTCACGTTCTGCATTCACATCACGACCATGTAACAGCCGGCCATCGAGGCCAGAAGAAGCCTTTGCGGCTCTCAGCAAGCACTACTACTGGCCAGGAATGCGCGCCTACACTACTGCTTATGTTGAGTCATGCACTCACTCTCGAGCGTCAGAGTCCCTTAAAGAGAAGCCTGCAGGCCTTCTTCAGCAGCTACCCGTCTCTTCTCGTCGATGGGCGCACGTAAGTCTCGACTTTATCACAGATATTCCCCTTACAACGACAGGGCACGACTCGATTCTTGTCATGGACCACTCCAACAGCAAGATGGCTCATTTCGTTCCTGCAAAGAAATCATTCATAGCAGCAGACACCGTGGAGCTTCTCGCAGACCGCCTTATCCGCTATCACGGTTTTCCAGAGGTGCTCATATCGGATCGCGACCCCCGTTTCCAGTCGGATCTTTAGAACCAGCTCTGTCCCCGCTTTAACATCAAACGGTGCATGTCCTCGTCCTACCTTTCCCAAAGCGACGGCCAAACTGAACGGGTTAACCGCACACTGGAGCAGATGCTTCCTACCTATATCAAATCTGACGAACGCGAGTG